GGAGTAGCAATCATGATCCCAGACAAAGCAACAGTAAAAATAGACCTAATTAAATGAGATAAACGGGGAAACTATGTTTTGCTGAAAGGTAGCACAGATACTAAATTAATATCAATATTAAACATATATGTACCAAATGGTATAACATCTAAATTCTTACAGAAAAGCTAAATGAATTACAGGAAGAAAGAGTAAAATAATAGAGGAGAACCTCAATTTATCCCTCTCAGACTTAGATAAACCTATCCCAAAATTAAAAAAAAAAGAAATCAAAAAACCTTAATAGAATTTTAGAAAAGTTAGATGTGATAAAACTGTAGAATATTAAATGGGAATAGAAAAGAGTACACCTATGTCTTAGCTGTTCATGACACCTTCACAAAAATTGCACTAGGGCATAAAAACCTCATAAACAAATGCAGAAATATTACACGCATCTTTTGCCAACCAAAATGCAATAAAATTATGTGCAGTAAAGGACCTTTGAGGCAAAGATTAAAAATTAAGTGGCAAACAAAATAACCTAAGCCTGAATGTGTGGGTCAAAGAACAAATCAGAAATAATTTCATTAAAAATAATGACAACACTGAGACAATACTGCAAATTTTTTGGGATGTAGCCAAAATGGGACTTAAGAAAAATTTGTATCTCTAGGAATTATCATCAATAAAAGAAAGAGCAGACTAATAAATTGGGTTTACAACTAAAAAAATCCGAGAAAGCCAACAAATTAAAAAACTCCAAATAAACATCAAAATAGAAAGCCTAAAAATAAAAGGATAGATTAATAAAATTCAAACAAAAAAAATCTCTGAATTAAAAAAATTAGATTTTTTGGAAAAAAAAAAAGATAAGCCATTAGCTAATTTAGTTTTTGTTTTAAGAAAGGGGAAAGCAATTATTAGTATAAAAAAAGATAAATTCCCAGGATCGGATGTAATGATATAAGTAAATTGTATCAAACATTTAAAGAACAACACTATATAACACAACATATACAATAATTCTAGATAGGCTGTTTGAAAAAGTTAGGGGGAAAAGGGATGCTACCAAACTTCTTCTATGACACAAATATGGCCTTGATACCTAAACCAGGGAGAGTAAAATAGAGAAAGAAAACTAACGGTCCATGTCCCTAATGAATATTGAAGAAAAAATTTAGATAAAATATTTGAAAAGAGACTATGGCAACGTATCACGAAGAATACACTATAACCAGGCTAGATTTATTTTAGTAAGAATGGCAAAATGACCAGGAATGCAGGTATTATTTGATATTGAGAAAACTATAAATGTCATTGATCATATGAGTAACAAAAAACACAAAAATATTTTTCTACCTATAGATGCAGAAAATGCTTTTGAAAAGATACGATACCCATTTCTGATTAAAAAAAAAACACCAGAAAGGATAGGAATAAATGAGGTTTTCCTTAAAATGATATAGTGTCTATCTAAAAATAAGAACCATCAATAATCTGTAATGATGATAAATTTGAAGCCATTCCAGTAAGATTGGGGATAAAGCAAAGGTGTCCATTATCAACATTACTATTATATATAGTACTAAAATGCCAGCTACAGCACTAAGACAAGAAAAGGAAATTGAAGGAATATGCATAGACAAAGACGAAATGAAATTATCACTTCTTACAGGTGATATGATATTTTATTTAGAAAATCCTAGTGAAATAAAAAAACTAATTCAAACAATTAACAACTTCAACAAAGTTGCAGAATGTAAAATAAACTGACACTAATCATCTGCATTTCTATATATTATCAACAAAATACAGCAGGAAGAGACAGAGAAATTCCATTTAGAATAACTACAGAAAATATAAAATATTTGGAGGTAGGTTTACCTGTCAAGACATATGCAGGGACTATGTAAACACAATTACAAACCACTTTATACAAATAAAGACATCTAAATAATTAGAGAAATAATAATTATTCATCAGTGGGCCAAGACAATATAATAAAAATTGCAATGCTACCTAAATTATTTTACTTATTCAGTGACATACCAATCAAACCACCAAATAATTGCTTTATAGAGCTAGAAAAAATAACAACAAAATTCATCTGGACGACAGAGAATATGAAGGAAATAAGTTTTAGAAAGTTGAAAGGAAGGGGTCCTAGCAGTATCAGATCTTCAACTATACTACCAAATTATAGTTGCCAAAATATATTAGTACTGGGTAAGAAACAGGGAGATTGATCCACAGATCAGGCACACAATATACAGAAGCAAATGAATACAATGGACTAGCATGAGAGGAACCTGAAGGTTCCAGTGTCGCGGCAAGAACTCACTATTTCACAAAAGCTATTGGGAAAACTGGAAAGCAGACTGGCAGAAACGAGGTACAGACCAACATTTCACACCATCAATCGGGATAAGCTCCAAATGAGGAAGTGATTTAGACGTCAAGCGTAATACCATAAACAATTAGGGAAGCATGCAAGAAATTACCTCTAGATCTGTGATAAGGGCAGAGTTCACGACTAGAGAGATAGAGAAGCTCATGGCGTAAAATAGACAATTTTGATTATATAAAATTTAAAACTTTTTGCACAAATAAAATCAATGTTTCTAAAATTAGAAGAAAATCAGAAATTTGGGGGCGGGGAAATATCTTTGTAGCAAGTTTCTCTGAAAAAAGGTCTCATTGCCTGTATAGGGAACTGATTTGAATTTATAAGAATAAGAGCCATTGCCCAATTGATAAATGATCAAAGAATATGAATGGGTAATTTTCAGAGGAAGAAATCCAAGCTACCAATAGCCATATTAAAAAATGTTTGAAATTGCTATTAGAAAAATGCAAATTAAAAGAAATCAAGATACTACCTCACACCATCAGACAAAGTTGACCAAAAAAAAAAAAAAAGAAAGAAAGAAAGAAAGAAAGAAAAGAAAATGACATGCTAGAGGATGTTGGGAAATAGGCACACTAATACATTGTTGTTGGAGCTGTGAACTGGTCTAGCCATTCTGGAAAGCAATTTGGAACTATGCCCCCAAAACTATTAAACTGTGCATACCCTTTGACCCAGCGATACTATTACTAAATATAGAAAGAGATCAAAGAAAGAGGTAAAGGATTCATATGTACAAAAATATTTATAATAGCTCTTTTAGTGGTGACAAAGAAACTGAGGGGATATCTATCAGTTGAGGAATGACTGAATAAGTTATGACAGATGAATGTGATGGAACACTATTGTGCTATAAGAAATGATGAAGGGATGGTTTCAGAGAAGCCTGGGAAGATTTGTAGAACTGATACAGAGTGAAGTGAGTGGAACCAGGGGACAATTTTTACAATAAAAATGATATTGTAAGGACAAACAACTTTGAAAGACTTGGGAACTCTGACCAACACAATGACCAATCACAGATCTGGACTAATTATCACGAAACATACTACACACCTCTGGATGGAGAGCTGTTCGCTCAGGTTGCAGGCTGAGGCATACATCCTTTTGTACGTCACTAATGAAATAATTACATGCCCCCAGGATGGCCTGCCCTTTGTCAGACCAAGCCCAGGGCTAGGCTGCAGACACACATTCAAGCTTAACCATGGTCTTTCCAGGTTTTGATAGCAGGGAATAGATGTCACATTTGAAGAGATGCTATTGGTCAGAGCTGGCTATGCTTCTGAGGTGATGACCTCTTACTATAAGGATTAGACACCTAATCAATGCTCAGGTGCTTGAGGGCAGGGTTAGGGGTCAGCTTCAGGGATCCTTTACATGCATTGAGCACAGCCCAACCAATCACTGAGATGAACGAGTAGCCTCATCCTTCTCCCATCCAGGCCTCCTCTTCTGCCCGATGGCCACCTTAGCTCTTCTGTGACTGCCTCTGCTCTTCCCTGCAAGGATGTCCCTGGCATTCCCATTAACTTGTTCTGACTTGGACAAAAATGCATGTGTACATGCATGTGTGTGAGTGTGTGCTGACTTTCCTTCTTCTCATACCCCCTAAAGAAAGCCCTGGGCCTCCCCACCTCAGATCACACTCCAGGGACGGTGCTGAAGCCCACCTCCCATGGGGCTACCCTGGCACCCCTCCCCAGGAGGCTAGCCCTACCTGCTCAAGGGTCAGCCTGGGCCCCATAATGAGGTAAGGAGGACCCAAGTTGTCTTGGGTAGGGCAGTGTCTACCCTAAGAGTCTGGAGTCAGAGTAAACAAGATTCCATGGCTCTCACTAATTCTAGATACAAGGGGTGGCACTGAGTCCTCAGAGTCATTGTGGCTGGCCCCATGGTCTGTGGACAGCAGACCTCCCCTCTGGGTCATCAGCCACAGGCCAACACACACACACACACACACACACAGACACTGTCCCACTACAGATGACAACCAGGTCAAGCAGGATAGAGCATATTGTGGATCTGAGAAATTTTCCCTTGTAACTGTCCCTGGAAAATTCAGCCATGGCCCTGGCCTGTACTAGCATACTACAAAGATGGCTCCGGCAGAAATGCCCACTGCCTCTACCAACGAGCACCCTGCCCTGAACCAGGGAGAGTGGTGCTGTGACCCCTGGCTGCCTGCCTCTTGCAAGGAAAGGTTTCCTTGTTCATAAATAAAACGCAGGTAAGCTCCTGTCCCAGGCTTCCCTTGGCCTAGGAGAGGGAGTGAGATGCCATGGGGGAGGTCCAAAGGAAAGCTCAGGGCAGTAATGGAGAAGGGCACTCCAGGCACACAGACCCTCGGCTAGGACGCAGGAAGCACGCAGACCACCAAGACGCATCATTTATACTATGCAGAAACATGCCAGGCGGGACCTCGAGACACGCTGGATGTCTGCTCTCTCACCGTGCTGGGGAAAACAGCCATAACAAGATGGGAAATCTCAATTCCCCCGCGGTGCTCAATCTGAGAAACAGAGTCCTCCCAGCTTCTGGAGAGCCGCACTCGGCACGCGGCCATGGAAAACGAACTGAGACAACAGGAGACACTGAGCCTCGCTCCTACCTTGTCTTCCACCCTGTTCAGTCGGGCTCCAATCGTGTTATTCCCTCGGTCTTTATTCTTCTCTGGAGAAAGAAAGAGACATGATGATCCGGGTGAACAGCAGAGGCGGATCCAAGCACAGTTTGGCACTGAACTGACGTCCCCTGGGGACGAAAAGGGGGTCTAGGCCTGGCTCTCCTACAGCCCTCAGGCAACTTTGCCCTCTATGGATCTCAGTTTCCCAACGTGTAGAACAATGGGGTCAGTCTAGATGTTCTCTAAGATTCTCCAAGAGCCTCAAGTGGAATGCTCCGCTCTGGGATACTAGTCATTAAAGTCAATGAGTTCTTGCTCCTCTTATAAACCCCCCACGTATACAATGTGACTCAGAGAAACAATGTTACCATTTTAAAGTCATTTTGTTTCTCCATGACTCATGGTCTATTTTCTTTGTAAGCATCTCTCTATCAAACACATTTACTTCCCTACAATTTCCTCTATGCCCACACTGCACATTGTATTACTAAAAAACTGGGACTAAATAAAAATTTAGTAACTAGATCTCATTTCAAAGATACTAGGGGAGACTTACTACCTAAAATTGGGGTCCTTAATCTTTTGTGTGTGTCCTTGGCCTTCTGGGCAGCCTGGTGAAGCCCATGGACCCCTTCTCAGAAAGGTATTTTTAACTTACTGTATAAAATGGAGCAGTTACAACTTGTTAAAAACAAAACAAAACAAAAACAAAAACAACCGAATTCACTGACTGCAGATTAAGAGCCTCTGATTTAAAGGAACTCCATAATGAAAGCCTTCTTTTGTAAAATGATTATCCCCTACCCTCTAATTCATCATTTCTTTCAATCTTGAGTTTGGTTTTACTTAAATAGGAGTCCTCCTTTATAGGCTTCCTTTTTCACTTCCTGCCCCAATTTAACAGGACTTGTCATGAGTACAGCAATGAGGAGCGCAGCAGCATTGGAGAGGTTGCTCCCCACACTAGAACATCCCCTAAGGTTGCGGCCACATCTGTGACCCAGCTGGACCTCTGGTCTCCAATCCGCTGGAGGTGAGTAGAAGGTACAGAACTTTACCTGAGACTGAGATGAAAAGAGAAGGCTTCCCTATTGACTGGTCCAGCCTGTAAAGAAAAAGACAGAGTCTGTCAGGAGCAGCTGAGTCACCCCAAGGGTCAGAGCTAAGCCCAGGGCAAGGTGCACACTTGAAATGCTCAGAAGCTTCCAAAGTGCTGACATCACTCCCTGAAATAAAGCATCAGAATACCCTTGTATTTGGGCCTCAGCGTGTGGTGAGCTCTCAGAAGAGGACTACCGGCCCTGGGCCTACGGGAAAGGGAGATCCCAGCCCAGTCAGAGGCAAGTTCCAGGCGTCTCCAAGAAGTATCAGAGAAGCCTCCACCAACAGGAGGCTCAGCCTGGGAGTCTGAACTTCAGAGTAACTCCTTCCTCGTGCCCTTCCCAGCTTGACTCTCAGAGGATGCTTCCGTCCCAATTGGGACTGAGTCTAATGCGGGTATGTCTTTAAAAACATCCCCGATCACAAACCCAGATTTGACGGCGACCAGCTTTGGGAAAAAGGTGTTCTACGTTTGGGCCAATGCAGGTCTACCCTTGCTTTTAAGGGGACTAAGACCCAGTCAGCAGGTTGGCGCTCTTGCTTCGGGGAGCAGGGAAGATGCTGCTGGAGGCAATGAGGAGCTCTGGGTAACTGCACCCAGTAAGCAGTCAGGACTTGTCTTGGGAGTGGTTCCTTAACCTTTTCATCAGTGAGGCCTGGCCCAGCTGCTGCTGCTGGCCTTGTCCTGTCTGCCTGCTCTAATTGGGGTTGCAGAAGTTAGGAGCCGTTGGAGATTTGCTGATAATCTATACCCTTGTCCTCCATCCAGCTGCCGTGTCTTTGCTAACATGCCCCCAGCTAGAGAGGGACTGATCAATGACATATATTATACATTTACCACGTCCCAGGAGGAGGCAGAGGAGGTCGGATTCTGCAGGAAAGCTTCCCACTTGGGGGAGAGCAGCTTCCCTGCCCGGCATCAACATTACTGCATCACCGAATGAGCGTCCCATGTGGGATTAGTAAATGTTAACCAATAAACATTTATTAGGTGTCTACTATGTGCCAGGCACTCTGCTAAATTCTGGGGATGCACAAAGAGGCAAAAGACAGTCCCTTTCCTCAAGGAGCTCACAATTCAATAAGGGAGACATGTTTAGGGATTTGGAAACAAAACATGTCCAGTGGCTTCCCTCAGGAGCTCAGACTGAATGGGGGCCCAGAGCTAAGCAGTGTGCAGACAGCGTGGGTGAGTGTGCTCTCATGGGTGTGGTGGAGGGGCCCATCTGGGCATCAGGAGCCCCTGCTCCCACAGCTCTGAAACACACCCAAGACAGGTTTGCTTTCTCCTCTGCTTTGAATAAACCCCAGCAAAGTCCAGGTACTTCTGCATCTGAGCAGAGTCCATATGGCCCTAGAGGACAGGCCGGCAGGGACTGGTTCATTTCTGCTCATTTGTGTCCCCCACACCCAGCACTGTTGCCTGGGACATAGGTCCCACTTGATACATTTGTTGAATGAATGGATAAATGAATGGGATGGATGAATGGATGGACAGGATGGATGGATGAATGGACGGATGGATGGACAGACGGATGGACAGATGGACAGATGGATGGATGGATGGATGGATGGACAGACAGATGGATGGATGGATGGATGGATGGATGGACGGATGGATGGATGGATGGA